CTATTCTTGTAGTACTCTGGGATTTCTGGTTGATTATAAACGCTCATGACTTAATCTATATCTTTTAGAAACGCCTTATCCATTTTCTAGCCCATAATTTATCTCTGAGATTATTCTCTGAACTTCACCCTTTCCCAGCGCTGTCCTTGCTTCTGACTCGCATTTTTTTTCTCTTTCTCCAGTCCACTCACGATGGCCCACACTGCTTTTCCAGTTGTATGCATGAAATTAGGAAGAAAATGCTAGATATTATTACTTTGATTTTTATCTTTCTTTTTTTTGGTACTGGGGACTAAACTCAGGGCCTCACTTGCAAGGCAGATGCTGTGCCACTGAGCTATATCCCTGGCCCTGATTTTTTTCTTTAAATAAAAAGTAGCTGTAATAGGCTTGCAGTTTGGGATAATATTTAGGTAAAGTTTGAGTGAACTGATTACTTTCAAGTTATAAAACCAATATACTTAGCAATGAATAGCCAAAAGAGTCTTCTCTGATTTATTGTTAAGTCAATGCCAAATTTTGCTATAATCAACTTTGGAGAATATTCCACTGAATGGCTTCACTGAATGGCCATATGAATATGTGAGAAGCAAAGAGAAAAATACAAAAACAGAGATAAAACCAAAACAATTGTTCATTATTAACTGTGCAATAAACTGTTCTGTGGTCCACTAGTCAAGGTTATTTACAAAAAAAAAGAATTTTAGTCACTTAAGTAGAATTTTAAATGTCATGTTAATGTGTCCAAACATTATTTTAAGTACATTTTTAGGTATATGTTAGCTAGATAATATGATTTTGTTGAACACCAGAAAATAATGACTCTTACAACCACTGTAAGTGGACAAACTAAGCAACATCTCGAAATCAAATTATGTATGCTTTGTACATACTAACAAATTCAACAGTCCTAATAATTTTTCATAGAAAATCACATCATAATCCATCAGCAAGCTGGAATATGATGGTTAACTCTATCTGTATCAAAATAATACTTATGCCAGCAATATAGCTCAGTGGCACAGTGCCTGCAGCAGTACAAGGTCATGAGTTCGATTCCCAGTACCAAAAAAAAAAAAAAAAAAATAACACTATTTACTTTACAAAATAATTTTATCTCTAGGTCTATCTCTTGCCATTGTTATGATTGTGTACTTTTTACAAATCTGACCTGCTACTGATATTGTTAATGGCCTCAAATATACAACTTCACTGTTATTATAATGAAAGAATTCATCAAAGAGGAAATAAAAAGGAAAAATGTTTACAATCTGGATTACTGTAATACACATTAAATAATTTTATTTTAGATATACTCTAAGTAGTTGTGACAGAGGAGACAAAATTTAGGAGTCATGAAGTTCCAAAAACAAGTAAAAAAGGCTTCTAAGACATCAAAACTCACTACTTTGAACTTCATAAGAATTTATAGAAAACCCAACTGCCAATATTTCCCAGAACTCTGGCTAATGTAAGTTTGTAATCTTAATTACAAATAAATCAACACAACACATAGGACAGCAACACTGGCAAACAAACAAGGGCGCAGCAGAGTTCCATGAAATGAAGAGCTACGTGGTGAACAAGGTCTGGGAAAGATCACGCAAGATAAAATAAAAGAAATCAACAACGGTACTATAAAACGGAACAGCTAAGACAGATAAGATAATAAGGACCAAGACACATAATTCTATATGCAGAACCCTGTGAATTGTGTGAAAAATCATTGTTCACGTATTTCTTTGACAAGATACTAAGTCCTGGTAGAAATACTATAGTTCTTTTCAGCTCCTCCAATAAACACCAGGGGCTGAATAACTGTTCTCCTCTCCGTATCTGATCCTTTGATAAGCAAAACATCAAAACATTGCTGTGTATATATAGATGGTTGGACGAACTACTAAACCTGTAGAAGTGAAACATTTTTCCTATGTACTCTGAAGCCATTTATGTGGACAACTTGTTTAAAATGTATACACATACTACAATGTTTTATGCCTGCTTTTTATAAAATTTTAGTGAAAATTTCTCTAATCTCTCTTTTAGCTATCCTTTAATTTCTGTAGTATCTATTTTGGTATTCGTTGGGTTGGGGAAAATCATCATTGAAAAACTGTACTATGAACATTTGTTTCAGTGAGTGTCTGAGAAATAAGTTAGCCTCTATTCCGACAAAGTAGTAATGTCAGTAATTGAGACCTTCCGGGTATAGTCCAGGAAATTAAGGCAGTGATAGACAAAGCTTTAACAAAGTCACAAGAGACTTAACAGAACTGCTTATAAGACTAGATGGTTTCCCATGTCCAGAAAGTGACATCTGTCTCAAAATGAATGACTAAAACACAAAGCAAACAAGTAGAGTCATTCAGTAATAGGAAAATTTGCAAATAAGTAAGGAGGGGAAAAAATAAATGTTAAACAAAAACAAAAGCAGGTCAATACTTTCAAGAGAGAAAAATTGGAACTACTTAAGAACAATATTCAAAATAGGATAGGCTCACATATGACTATATTACTCAACTTAATTTTTCAATGGAAAATGCATTAATCAACATGTAAAATTATATGATCCAGGGAAGTAAGCTAATAGGTTTCTTTTCAGTAGATGAAAATATCTTAATATATTAGTGGTGATGAGTGCAAAATGCTGCAAATATATAAGGTAACTGAGGTACATAATTTCAAGGAGTGAATTTTATACACATGAGCTATATTACAAAAGATATTCTATAAATGGTATGGTCAATCTAACATTTGTCTTCTAAGATATCATTAGAGACAACCTCTGGTCATATTTCCCCCCTAATTGTAGTCTTTTCTACAGCTGGTATCTGTAGAATGAACTCAGATTTGATTTATAATGCACAAATTGTGATTTAAAAAGGTTGGCTGCTAGTAACATTGAGACAAATGGCTTTATACAGTCTGACTGCACTGAGGGTGAAGATAACAGTTTTTAGATTGTCTTCTTTCTTTTTCTTCTTAGGGGGGACCAGGAGTCAAACTCAGGACCTCATGCTTGCTAGGCAGGCACTGAGCCACAGAGCTACATGCCTGGCCCTTGATTTTCTTTCTTAAATTTTATTTTATTTTATAATTTGGTCAATTTGAAATTGTATTGTTTCTATGCACCAACACATACGCTATTCTAAGCATCTGCCCAGTAATCCTGGTGCTCTCTTTGCGTCATTCCCTTTAGAAATCCTCATTTCTGCGAAGAGAGCTGCTTTACTTCCAGCATGTCCAGGTTGTTGATTAAAAGGGTTCACAGTAGAAAGTTATGAAATTCGGCTTATTAACGTCTGCACAAATTGATGTTATCTAACCTCATCCGAGCCTTTGCCGCTGCTTGGAAACCTCTTTATTAATGTCTAACTGGCTCCTTAGCCACACTCTCCACAGTGCTCATTTCAGAGCTTCTCAAATCTCCCGTCCTTTCAATGTGACCTCACATATTCACTCAGCGGAAGTGAGCACCTTCTCCTGGACGGGGACATTTTTCCGTGTTAAAATTTTCTTCCTCATTGTTTCCTTCACACCCACCTCAGAATAGAAAGGTCATTTTATCATTTAAAAAATACCTTACTTCACTTGCAGTAAACCTGACTTAGTATACCACTCTTCTGCCAAGATCTAGCTTTATAACAGGAGCTAAGGCATTAATTTATGTGGTCCTTGGTTTTCTCTTCTGTAATATGAACATCGTGTGCTTGATGAACTGCAAAGCTAATGTCAATACTAATTCAAGGTCTTCTTAATCTTGTGTTTAGTAAGATCCTTCCAGCCCCAAGACCAGTGGTGGAGCTTTCAAAGATAACGAGCAGCCAGCTGCAGCACGTGTGCCATAGGTTCACCACCACTGCCGAAGTCCTGTGCCTTTCATTCAGCCGATACACACAGAATACAAACGGGGCATTTGATCTTTTTCTCTCCAGTAATCTATTATCAACCTGATTCTTCTCACCCTGTACATAGTTAAGACTTCATCTTTTAAAATCCTCCCCCATTATTATAATCACTTACACTCATATTTTCACTGTTTTTTGACCAAATTACTTCAGGGAATAGATATATCTGAAGTCTCTACTTTGTTACTACTAATTTATTTCTTCATGCCTTCCAATCTTGCTTCTGCTTCCAGCGCTTTCTCAAAATAGCCCTTGCAAAGGTCAAGCGATCTTTCCTTAGTACCTACCCTACCTCAGTTATCTTTGACATAAATAAGCACTGATTTTGAAAGAACTGAACCTTATTCTCATTTTCCTTAACAATACCACACTTCTTTCTGAGGCTCTGTTACCTCTTCCTCTCTGCCTTTATTTTTACTTTTGGTCTCTCCTAAATGTGGGAATTTGTCAGAGTTCCATCTTGTTCTTCTTTCTGCTTTTTTGTAGGGAAACTTTTATTCGTTCTCAGGATCTCAAATGTTATATTTATGTATATCACAAAAGCATTTTCAACTGAACTTTCCAGTATGCTGGACATTTCTTTACATATGTCTCACCAATTTAAAGTCATATTGGAAACAAACTTAGCTACTATACCCACCCCAAACCCATGTAGGAAAAATAAAGAAACACAAGCCTTTCTTCTACCTACATTTGTCTTGCTGAAGATATGAAAAGCATTCCAGTGACTACGACTGAAATTACAGGAGGAGGAAAGAGCACCAGTGTTGGGCAGTGCACCATCCTGCGATAGCACAGCTGTTTGTACAGCTAGCGAGCTCTGCGTGGGACAAAACCCTCAGTGCCCTGACAAATAATAAAATTATCATCCTTCCAATTGCTCAGTGTGATGCAGAAAAATATGCTGTTTTTCAAAAGAAACTTATTGAGTTTCAAGAATTTTTGTTATGTCTTAAAAATATAGCCAGACATTGGAGAATACCATTTTTTTCTAGTTTCTTCATCAAATTTTGTGGTAATAGAAAATCCAAGCTTTCATTTCAACTAGATACACAGAGGACGGGGGTGGGAAGGAAACAACGGTCCACTCACACTTTGTCAGTTCCGTAACTCCTGTAGTCCACTGCGGCTGACACGGCCACGATGAGTGCAGGCATCCCGTAGCCCACCAGATAAAAATACTTCCTGCGCGAGTGTTCGCTCTCAAACACCTCCACCAGCATGATGTAGAGCTGCACGCCCTCCAGGAACATCCACGTGAAGGCAGCCAGGAAGAAGAAATGCAAGAGGGCTGCAAACACAGCACAGGCAATCTAGGGGAAGGAATAAAACACTCGGTCAAATGTCTACCCCAGGGACTATTTGTCAACTGCATAACACTGAAATCAATATTTATCAGTACTGCAGTATAAAACAGACTTGCAGGGGAATCACTGAGGTACGATTCTTATGGTACAAATATCAAAACTAAGTGAATGCAGTGTATCTTCAAAAGTGTCCTGAACATCAGTAATAGCTTATGGATGATACCATACTATGAGAACAAGGAAAAATTATGACATAGTAGGAAAAATGTCTATTAACTGCCAATGGATAGTTACATCCCCAATTCGTAAATTCTTCCACTATAAATGAAAGAGAAACATTAAAACTGAGAGGAATAAAATTTATTAAGATTGAATAATATTAACGTTAATGACTGTTTGAAGTTATGTTAGTAATAAATTGAATTGTTTATTTATTTCTTGACTTACTCCAGAAAAAAATTTAGGTGGCAGTAGAAATTTTAGTCTGCTCAAATGTAAAAATGGATCTGGTTAAAATAAAGTTCCAGAGGTTTCCTTTTTTCTTAGTTTTTCTTTTTTTTTGCTATTGTACTAACTAACGATCTAGAAAAACTTGGTTAAAAAGACAGCTTTCCATTTTTAAAAAAATATAGTCAGTTGTGGTGGTGCATACCTGTCGTCCTTCCACTCCAGGAGACTGAGGCAAGAGGATTACAAGTTTCATCTTGGGCTACTTAGTAAAATTTTTTCTCAAGATTTTAAAAAATGAAGGAAAAACAACAATGACAACCAGCTGGGGCTGTAGCTCAGTGTGAATGCCCTGGAGTTCCAACCCCAGTCCCACACGGTACTATAAGCTTCAGCCAGCTATCTATTAATTTCCCATTCTTACATTAGTTCTTGAAATTCTAATTCCTTTATGCTCTTCCTTTTTAGAGGAAGTCTTGACTAAACTCAGTAGCTCCTTCTAGACAAGGTCAAAAACTTACAAACATGGTCAGAGTAGTATGTATTCATTGATGAGTAAGATCCCTAAGAAATAAGTCAACTACAAGTCATTTTCAGTGGGCTAGAAAGAGGGTAATGGAAGAGACATGAGAGCATGAGATTTCTGAGAGAGGAGAGAGATTTAGGTCTCAAAAACACCAAAACTAGCCATAAAAGAAAAGACAAGTTCAGCTGACTTGTGTTCTATGTTCCATGTTTTTCCATATCAATCACTATTCTATGTTTCCTGGCAAAAATTAGTTTTATGCAATATTTGATGTTTAATGAGGTTGAGGACACCATGTATAACATCAGGAAACAAAAGTAAACATTTCTAAGTGAAAAGAAATCACACAGTATTTGAATCACAGGTTCACAAAGAACAAAATTATATAGGCTGGGAAATTAATATAACTTTTCATTTACTGCTTTGTCGAGTTAGAACTGAAACTGTAAGTTTTTGTTATGATACAGCTTTACTTTTAGGGAAAAGAAATGTGGACTTTGATTGCTTATTCATTTGCATGAATTTACAGGAAAAGCTGTCACATGAGTAGATAATAGCCACTTAAAAATATATTCACTATAACTGTATCCATTACAGTCATTAATCATGAACGTAAAATCACAGACATGAAGCTAACTCATTTTTTATTATAAAGTACTCCATATGTATGGACATATACTGGAGAACAGCATTAAGTCAGTGGACTCTTTATTATGCACTGAAGTCTATAAAACAAAAATTCTCTTTTGCTTTGCAGTTTAATCACAAGAACAAACTTACACTATGTACATGAATCATAAGTCAAAGAAAAGGACCTTCTAACCATTAGGAATGGGCATAAAGCCAGTCTTATACGTTAGATTTTATTTATATATCCTGTTCAGTTTTACCAAAACCAATTGGCTAGTGTTGCTCCAGTTTTTCTTTTCTGTCTTTCTTCCCCTCCCTCTCCTTTCCTCTTCTCTCCCCTCTCTCTTTCCTTCTCTTTTCCTTTCCTTTCTTCAGCATGACAGTAGGAAAGAACAAGGTTTGCACTTAGAGTTGAATGGAATCCAAGAAATACACAGTGCCACACGAAACGTAGGAGGAGCTCATGTGTCCTAAAACTGACTTGTAGTCTATGCTGTTTCCTAAAAATGACAATCAGAAAAAATATTTTTGACATGCGGATTGTAAAACTATTTTTGACAAGCAGATAGTTTTAGAGGTACATTATAATAGTAAAAAACCCCAAGTATATCTATTAGAAATGATATATTGCTATTCTCTAAATGATCTTACTAAACTCTCCCTAACATTCAGATTGACAAATTAAAAATTAATAAAATTTTAATGAAACGGGGGGGGGGTGATGGCACATGCCCATAATCCCAGCACTCTGGGAGGCTGAAACGGAACTCTGAGGTTGAGCCTGTGCTTCTGAGTGACTTACTGATAGTGTGTCTCAAAATATAATTAAAATCAAGAAGGGTTTGGGATGTTGTCTGCTGTGAGATCCTGGGTTCAGTCCCTGTACCATACACATAAATAAAAAGCGAATGAAAACATGAAATTCCTTAGAAAGACATGCTTGTGAAGCAGAAGGTCTAAAGCAATGTCTATCTCCTTGATTGCTGATGAGGACACACCATATAGAGATGTTTATAGCATCTCTGTTCATAACCGCCAGAAGTTGGAAGCAACCAAGAAACATGTACTTCATGAGGACTTCCGGTTCTAGTAACTATAAAGTTATAAGTTTGTGTTGCTTATAGTGTGCATAGTGTGTGTGTATGGAGAGAGATGGGAATAAGAATTAAATTACTTCCATACTTACATAGGCACTCCATAATGTGCTCAATTTTTTTCATTCAATAAAATCTGAAATTCTAGTAATGTAGTTGCAGCCCTAATAGGAATCATAATGCACTCTATCTTCAGAGTACTTATAGTGATTAAGGGTAACAGTTAAATATTATATGTCCTATATTATGCCCTGCAAGATGACTCAGTGCTTAAAAAAAAAAAAAAAAGACAGAGAAAACTTAAATATATATAAGTGATGGAAGCCAATTTGAAAAAGCTACATCCTACGTAATTCCAACCATATGCCATTTTTGAAAAGGTAAAAATATGGAGACAGTTAAAAAAAATCAGGGTTGAAATGGCTTCAAAAGGAAGGAGGGATGACTAGGAGGAGAGGAAGAGCATAGAGAATTTTCAGGCACTGTGTTATTTTAAGAGTGGGTTTGTGTTGCGATCCATATTTCCAAATGTGTAGAATGGACAAGAGCTACAGTAAGTTCCACGTGAAGCGGAAACCACGGGCTCTGAGGAATAGTGATGTGTCAGCACGTGTTCACTGTGTCACAAGCACACCCCTCCTGAGGGCAGGGTTGGCCCGGCATAAGGCCGTCCACGTGTACAGGAGGAGGGTACATGGAAAATCTCAGTACTTGCTGCACAATTTGGCAAAAAAACCAAAAACTGCTGTCATAAGCAAACATAAATACATAAAAAAGAAATGTACATCTCACCCGTCACACTGACTGCCTCGTTATGATAATGGAACATGAAAAATAAAAGCTAAGATCTGAAAATCACTATCAGCTGAAAGAAAGGCTGTTTCCAGCCCTGACTACAGGTGTCTCCGGAACTGGTGGCATAGACACGCAGAAGGGAGAGCTCCTTAGCAAAGTCCGCGCAGGGGGCTTACGGGTTGGTCGGTTCGGTTTATTCCGATCAGGAAGAGCAGCTCGGCTACAAAGAGGCTGATGCAGAGGTTCTTGTGTATGGTGTTCCGGTCACTCTGGAGCCCGCGGAAAAAGCAAAACGTGAAGATGCAAATCAGGAGACAAACAAGCGACAGCAAAATTCCAACCCACGTGATCACATCCAGGAGAAGGTCGTGGACTGCGTCGCTGTGCTGCAAACACAACAAAAAGCCAGTAAGTTGCAATCGTGCATCACCAATGAGAAAGGGTCTGGGTTCAGGAAACACGATTTTAATAACATACTAGATGACTTCCTCATCGACAGTGAATAAAATGAACTGATCATTCGGGTTTTCTCTCCAGTAGCTAAAGCATTTGATCTTTGCTCTAAGGTGTGGGTCTTTTCAGGGATGTCAGTAGCATTCCCTCTTTCTCAGAGCACATATTTCAGGATATAAATAGCAGGAACAGATCAGTTTAAGTCTAGCCAAATATTTCAAGGAAAAGCTTTGGTCTTTTAACCAGTGTTACTTTTAAATTATTTTTTCATGTAACTCCTGCTGGGGTGTACGCTATTCAAAAGTGTAAGCTCTAGTGGTATCTCCACTGGGTTTTGAATCATCTAGAGAGTTTTTTAAATATAAAATACACAATCTTGTGTCCTGTAAAACCTTTATCAAAATTTTCAAGTTGAGTTCATAAAAGTAAGCATTTTTTATAAAAATCCCTAGTTAATTCGGATGAACTGCTTCATATGGTGTGCCATTTATTTAGTGGGAAAATCTAAAAGAATGAGGATATTCACTGGATTTATATTCATATTGAATGGCTTAAAGAGATCAGGAATTGAGACCCTTGAAGGGGTTTAAATTAATAGAGCCTGTTATACAGAGATGGAAAATAGTTTTCAGACTCACTATACCAATAACAGCATAAAACAGATAGTAGAGCTAAGAAACAAGAAAAAGTTCATGAATACTACATCTGTGCCTCATGAAGCTGCCTTTTCTAGCCTCCATTGGAAAAGATCCCATGACCTCCATATTTGCTCTGTTCTAGGGTCTGCACATTATTCCATTTCTGTCTTTAAGATTCAAAATTCAGTGTTCCCCCTATATCAGTTTGCCTCCATCCAAAAGAACTTGTTTGGGGGCTGGGGATTTAGCTCAGTGGCAAAAGCGCCTGCCTGGCAAGTGCAAGGTCATGAGTTCGGTTCCCGGTACCGGAGAAAAACAAAACAAAAAAAAAAAAAAAAAAAAAAAAAACAAAAGAACTTGTTTGAAGCTTTAGAATTCATGGTGGCCCAGCACATCTGTATGCCAAAAGAGGAGAGTACAATTGAGAAACTACCATAGATTGTCCATTCCAAAGAAAAGATCTAGATACCTAACTTCATCAATGAGGTATGAATAAGTGAATAATTCTACATAATTCTAAAAAAGTAGTGGAAAATTAGTCCCCTAGATTTACACTTACAAACATAGATACTTCCCAAAAATCTAATATGTGCTTTCACAGCAACAAGCAAAAGAATCTAAAGAGTATGATATAATGTGTGGCAGAATATAAAAGATATAGACCAGTGACACTGACTTTCTGGATATATGGAAAGCTAGAAGTATAGTAGTAAGCATGAAAGAATATCTAATAGAAAACAAGCAGATGTATTTTGATACCTTTTTCAATTGTGTAGATCATACATACTTTTGTCGATTTTGAGATGGAAGTAACTATATTAATTACCTTCCCCACTAAGTTAGGCCAGTTTAAAAATGCATAAAAATCTAAGTCTTCTGTTTTTAGGTTTTTTTTCATACTTTTAGAGATTAATCTTGATGTAAAAATTCTTATAAGTGAGCCACCATGCTGTGATCTGGTTTATTTTTTGTTGTTGTTGTTGTTTTTTTTTTTTTCCAGTACCGGGAATTCAACTCATGACGTTACACTTGCCAGGCAGGAGCTGTGCCTCTGAGTTAAATCCCCAGCCCCTCACGCTGTAATCTGAATGCAAGCATTTTTCATACTACCAAATATGACTTCCCAGTTGCCATTCCATGAAGACCTCCACTAGGCCAGGCAATGAAACAGTTTAGAAATATTTCCTCTATAACACTCAATTATATTTCTTGACTATATTTCTCCTAAGAAGTGAAAATCATTAAAAAAATAAGAAATTTTGTTTTAACTGCTTTGTTCTCCCGGGGATACCACTAAAGCAGTATTAAGCCTCTGATGGCTTAAATTCCTTCTAGTGTACGAGAACAGACAGTGGTTAATGTTTCTGAGTGGAGAGCTATTTACTCTTTTCTTTGACTCAAAGGAAAAATGCTTTGATCAGGTATCCAGCACCGATCTTCAGCACAGCAGCATTCAGTAATAAGGAAAATGGCAAGAATGATACATTTGCAAATGAATCTTAAAGTCTCATAATCATACACCTGCACACAAAAGAAATGAGAAGGAAAGAAGAAAGGAGAAAAGGAAGAAAAAGAGAGAGGAAGAGAAGAAGGAAAGGAGGGAGGAAGGGAAGGAGAAAAGAGAGAAAGAAAAGAAAGAGTTAAAAAGAAAAGGCAAGGCAGGGAGAAAGCAAGAAAAGAAAAAATAAAAGAAAAGGGGAAAGGAAAGGAAAGGAAAGGAAAGGAAAGGAAAGGAAAGGAAAGGAAAGGAAAGGAAAGGAAAGGAAAGGAAAAGAAAGGAAAGGAAAGGAGAAGGGGCAAAACCTTCCAATTTTTGTCTGGGGAGTTGAATTCTTAGAAATGTATTTACTTTATGCATTCAAAAACCCTATGCAGATTCACTGTTAGAAAAATACCAGATGTCAGAATGTTGGTAGTAAAAGGATGTACCACTCAAACATAGCACACAGAAGGCTAGTGATAAATTCACCTTTCAGTTATGACTGCTTAGCTTAGAACACTGAACACTGACCATCTGAATGTATACACTACTAGGATAGAAGCACCCATCTGATACAACTCAAATTTTATCAATAAACTGAAATTTTATCAATAAGATGAAAAGAAAAGAAAAATAGACATTAGTGATATGAGATATAAGTTTAAAGAACCTTGTTTACTGTAGAATAGTCTGCATAACTGAACTTCTAGGAGTTTAGTGGTTGAAAAAATAAATTCCCTTCAAGAGGTTAGCCAATTAAATATAACTCCAGGGTTTGTAAGGACATATAGTTGTAACAACATGTAGTTGTAACAATATGAAAATGGAAAAGGATTTCTACTTTAGAGATTCCAGGTTTGCAAAAATTATACCTCAATCACATAAATTCTGTACCTTTAGAACGAAAATCATATCCATCTTATTAATCTTATATTCCAGCTTATATCTATGCATGATGCATAAGTTTTTTTTATATTGAAGGGGTGTCTGTGTGTGTGTGTGTGTGTGTGTGTGTGTGTGTGTGTGTGAAGACTGAACCGAGGGCCTTGGGCATGCTAGGCAAACATTCTAGAACTAAGCTATGTCTCCAGTCCTTTAAATACTTTGTTTTGAATTTTTATACTCCCATACCTCTTGTACCAAATCTTTAGAACTGATCTGTCAGATTCATGCAATCTCCAGCTGGACATTTTTAGTAAGGTATGTGTGTACCGCACATCCCAAAGTGATTTCCTTCTGCTCTGTCCTCCACAGCCCTCAAATCTGATCTTCCCTCTATTTTGCCAATGTCAATAAATAGCAACTCTATTCTTTGAAGTGTTCCAGCTGAAATTTAGAAGTCATGTTGACTTCTCTGTTTCACAGAAAACATTTAATCCAGCAGGAAACACTGTAAATTTCATCTTCTAAATCAGATAGCTTCTCATCAGTTCAACTGCACCAACTTGGTTGGAGCCATCTGATGTTTAAATAGATTCCTAATTGATCTCTCTACTTTGACTTTAAGCCCCTCTCTGTATATTCAGCAGCACAGAGAAATTCTTTTTAAATAGTGTCATGGACAGGTATCAACTACCTGTGATGAATGTGATCATTACGTACTGCACACACATACTAATAAAATTTTTACAATTAAATCAAAAGGTAGAAAAGAATATATGCCACAACATTATTCCTCTGATTAAAGACTCTAATGGCTCTCATCTCAAAGAAAATAGAAACTAAAATCCTTATAAAGGCCCACACAACTCTGTAAGATCTCAATCCCTGTCATTGCTTTCTCTCATATTCAATTCATTCCTCCCACACTGGTAGCTTTGTTCTTTAATACAGCAGGGACCTCACAGTCCCAGGGTGTAGCCTTGATGTCCTCTTGGCTGCCATGCCTTTCAAAGGATACTTTCATGGCTGTTATCCTCCCTTCGTCCTCCATTCACAAGTCACCTTGTCATGGAGGATTTTGAATTACTCTACCCAAAATTACAAACATGTTTTCCCCATTCTCTCTTTCTTGCTTTCCCTGCATTACTTTTTTCCTTAAAACTTACTTATATGCTTTATTATTATTTTTATTTTCATCCCTCTCCACTAGAACATAAGTCCCAGGACAGTGAGATGTTTCTTTCTTTCCTGATCAGCAATATCTCAATTTCTAGAGAAAAAAGTATACTACACTTGCAGTTATTGTTTTGATTGAGAAAAAATGAATCATTCTTTGATTACAAACTTCAACTTGTATCACATTGCCAAAGGCACAGCTTTTGGAACTCTTTGGTTCTTAAATCATCTGTTCAAAAATTTTGAGGATATAGCAGTGGTAGTGTCTGAAGTCTCAACTATTGGGGAGGCTGAGGCAGGAAGACAGCATGGACCCAGGAGTTTGGAGCAACATATCAAGCCTGGGCAACATAGTGAGACCCCTGTCTAAACAAACAAACAACAAGCAACAATATAAAACAAAAGCCACACACATATATCTAAAATGAAATATTGAGCAAAGATGACAGATAAAGAGAGTTAGAGCTAGAGAATGACAACTTCACTGCATCAAAATATTTTAAGATCTCCTGAAATGTCACACTGTCAAACACTAACAGAAACAAAGCTAAAAGTATGGATGCAAGTAGGAGAATATTAAGGTAAACCTTGGAAGGTTATACCTTCTTGCTCCCATTGTCATTTGAACAAACTAGAGATGCTTCATAACTTATGATGGGTTGTGTTGGACAGCCCATCTTCAAGTGAAAATATGGTAAGTGGAAATCCATTTAACACATCTACCCTACTGCTTTGGGTTAGATCTAGAATGTTCTGC